GGGATCCCGATCCCGAGATTGCAATCTCTAGATAGGCCGAGACAGTTACGGGTGTCGGAGCTGGGACTCGGGCGCAATGGAAGGCGTATTAAACGCCGAATGTTCCATCGGTTGTTCGCTCACCCGGTTTCTAGAGTTCTCCGACAGAATTTAAGGATATCGGCGTTGTTAATTACGCTAATACCATTAATGCATCGAAGCTGTACGACACTGACGCTGGCATTCGGCAGGACTGACCCTCCCCTTCCCCCCTCCGGCAGGACTGGGTGTCGGCGCTGAAGCCGCTGTGCGTGCCGCAGAACGCGCGGCTGCCCAAGGTGGCCAACCTGCGCGAGCTGCGCTGTCTGCAGATCACCGTTCTCGAGGCGTACCGGCTGCCGCTGAAGCTGGTGCCCAGTCCCTTCTGTGTGATCGCCGTCAATCAGGTCAAGGTGGCGCGCACCAAGGTCAAAACTGGACCCGACCCTGTCTGGGGAGAGGACTTTGTTCTAGAGTGAGTAGGCCCCTGCGGTCCGGACGCCCAAAACCCGTAGGGTGGGTGGTGGACGTGGTAGGCGGCGTCAGCGGCTGGTGTGGGAGGATGAGGCCGGTTAGGTGACATTGTATCTAACTTCGAAAAGAAACAATGCGTTGTGCTATATTTTCTTCTTTTTTTTCGTAGTACGACGGAACTCAACTAACGAGACCATAACGTGTTTGTGCTGGAATGCAGGAACACTTTCATCACGACGAGCTGAGAAAACCTCGTCTCGTTTGTTTTATGCTTACCCTGTTGGATAGTAGGTCATACTCATCATGTCCCGTTCATAGGCTTCGTGTCTACGCATCTATTGTCTAATCATGTATATGTCCGATGTGTTCCGCAGCGACCTTCCACCGGACGTGCTGACGTTCAGCGCCATGATCTACAACAAGGGCAAGCGCTCCAAGGACAGCGAGGTGGCCGAGGTCACCGTCGAACTGAAGGACCTCACCAGCGGCGAGGAGGTGAGACCGGGGTGGTAGCGCTGCAAAGTAGCCGTGGCTAGAATTGAAGATTCATGGGTTGGGGCGCGCAACGATACCTTTAGCATTGTGCCTAGCCTCGTAGAATATAGCTGAGGAGTAGACTGATAAAATTAACCGCCCACATTTGAGAGGCTTATGGCTTTTATGGATCGCTATGCCTCTTATTATCAATGGCTGTATAATTATATTCTCAGACTTTGATCCACTAGAGACTGCCGCTTGGGGTGTTATTCGCTCACGATTGGTCTAGTTGTTCACTCTCCTCCGCTGTCGTTTGCCCAGACGGAGAACTGGTACCAGCTGTCGGGCATTACGCCGATCGGCGAGTGGGGCTCGCTGCGGCTGCGGCTGCGCTACAGTCACGACCTGGCCATGCCCTGCGACGAGTACTCGTCACTCAAGGAGCTGCTGCTCGACGGTCAACTGGAGGTGGTGCGCGCCCTGGCCGGACTGCGGCACGTCGACCGGCTGCCGCTGGCGGCCGCCCTGCTCAAGGTGTTCAGGTCAGTTCCTACTGCCTCAACCGCCCTGCTCACTGCTCAGTGCTCAGTACTCAAGGTCTTCAGGTCAGTTCCAGCAGGCCGCCTACGGCGTGGCTTGACAGGCTGCTAGAACGGGAGGTAAGGGGTGCTGGCAGGAGTGTTATGAAGGCTCGAGTCGGTTAGTGCATTTTGAAGATTATCGTCGCAAGTTTAGTGTTTTATTTGGCGTCAGCATTGTAAATGCACGAGTGATCCATTCTCGGCTCCAAAATGTTTGACCAGCCGTCTGACCGGCCATATTGTCCCTCTGACTGACCCCTGACCTCTGGCCTCGCCGTCTGTTCAGGTTCGAAAAGAAGGAGGCCGAACTGCTACAGACGCTCAACGACCTGGAGATCGAGACGGAGGAGGACAAGTCGACGCTGTTCCGCGGCGCCACGCTCACCACGGCGCTGCTCGACCTCTACATGAAGTCGGTCTGCACCGGCTTCCTCCACGTGGCCATCTCCGACATGGTCAACAAGATCGTCGAGTCCAAACAGACGTGTGAGGTGAGAGACGAATAGCGAGGCCATGGGATGGGGTGAGAGCAGTGTTGAGGAGGAGGTCGGAGGATACTGGCGTAGCTGGTTGATTTGATGCTTGGGATAGGATTGCGGTTAGTGATAAGATTTCAAGCTTATTGTGTGGCCCGTGAGCGTGATGTTCCAGCGCGTTGTGGGCAGTGGGTTACACTTTAAAAGCCGCCGCTGCTGCCAGTTGTAGTCACGTCGGCTGCAGTTCGCCGTTGCACATTAATAAATAGCCGTACCAGTTGCTCATTCACCCCGTATGTGACGCACCATCTCGCTTTGTTCTCCCAGCTGAACCCGTCCAAGATGGACCACCAGGACGACGCGTGTAGTAACGCCGAGTACCTGCTGGAGGTTCTGGACAGGATCACCGACTCCATCTTCCTGTCCGCAGAGGACTGTCCCAGGTGGGTCATGGTCACCGGCGGCCGCGGAAGGTGACAGGGTAGGCAAGTATTGTACGACAACAGAGATGGTGACAGCTGATGGGTTCCAGGACAGTGGCATGGCCAGTGACGAAAAGGAACGGTGTTTTTCATAAGGATTGAATTCGGGACCAGGACCGACCGAAGATTGCAGTCTTTCGGAAAATTTTGTATCGTTCAATCTCCGTGCTGCATTGTGATTACCCATGGTGCTGGTCAACGAGTTTTCTCTCGGTGCGTCTCTGTGCGTCTACTGTTCATAAAGTGCACGCGCCTGCCAAGGCGGTGGTCTGTACCGGTGTCCGATTTTGACGACTATCCACCCCCTCCCCATCCTACAGGACTCTGCGCTACATCTGCGGCTGCCTGCAGCGCAGCGTGGCCGCCAAGTGGCCCAACGAGAAGCTGGTGCGCACGCGGGTCGTGTCCGGCTTCGTGTTCCTGCGGCTCATCTGTCCGGCCATCCTGAACCCGCGGCAGTTCGGACTGCTAACCGGTGAGTGTTGTGAGAGAGTGGTGAGTTGCCACCGCCGCATTGTTCGGGTTGTGAGGTAAACGAGGCGAACGGAAGCGGAGAACTATAATTAGAAAGAGCGGATTGGAAGTGCTGCCGTGTAAATGGGCTCGATGTTTATTATCCTGCCTGCGTTAGCTCTGACGTCCTGCTCAGTCCCCGCTGATGTGACCGTTGCGTGTCTCTTCCTCTCAGAGCCGCCGCCGCTGCAGGGCGCCCGCTCGCTGGTCATGGTCGCCAAGTGTCTGCAGAACCTGGCCAATCTGGTCGAGTTCGGCGGCAAGGAGCCCTACATGGAGGTGGTCAACCCGTTCATCATCAAAAACCGCGAGCGTATGGTCGGCTTCCTGGACCACCTCTCGGTGAGTCGGGGGGAGGCGGCGCCGCGTGGCGCTCACACGACCTCCCACAACGGGAGGTATGATTCAGTCTTTCCTTGAAACGAAGCATGTTCATTATAGGTACGAAGGATAAAGACCAGTTGCAGCATTCTATTGTATGTGGATATTTTGAGCGTGCGAAAATAATTACAGATTCGTTGTGCCATTGTATGTACCCAGCTCTCCGCCATGCCGTTTTCTCAACTGACCTCGCCACTGTGACTCCACAGAACGTACAGGTTCGGCCCGAGCCGGAGGACCTGCCGCTCAAAGGAGACCCGGCCAGGGAGCTGGGCATCATCCACCAGATCTGCTCACAGCATCTCAAACACATCCAGGACCAGTGCAGGACACAGGTGATGGCAACAGAATGGGAGGATGGGTAAATGGATGCACGAATCAACGATCAATTAATCGACGAATCGATTCATGAATGACTAGTAATATTTCCCGTACCTTGAGTTATTGATAGAACGCATGCTAAATATAGAGTATTGAATGTCCTCAATGGGCGAACGAATGAAGGAAGGAATAAATTAGGTTTAGCATTGCATGTTCTCATTAGAGGAGATTTCTGAGTGACTCGTAACACGTAGACACAATTGTTGTCGCTCGCCATGCTGGCTATCTGAAAGGAAGTCTAGCGCTGATTCCATTCGATGTAGCTGCTGAACTGTGATCCCACCCTCCTGTTTACCGCGCACGTTTCGTAACGCCACCTCCACCGTCCGTCCCACAGCCGAGCCTGCGGAAGCTGGTGACGGTCACTCAGATCCTGGACAAGCACAAGAAGACGTACCAGGAGATGATCCGGCAGGCGGCGAGCGGCGCGACCACGGGCAGCACGATGGGCTCGCGGCCGCCGGCGCCCTCCACGCCGCTCGTCTGACCGGCCCTCCCGCCTCAGACACTTCACGCACAGAGCGACTGAGAGACCGAGTGGCTGGCGGACAGACCGGGCGCGCACCCACGCGCACGTGCGCGCCCAACGCGATATTATCGGGGCCGCTCCGGCCCGGACTGGCTGTTTTCTACTGGCGCGAGCGAGCGAGAGCGTTTGTTTGCTGTGCCAAATGTGTTGGTTGGTGCGAGTCGGCGCCGAGTGGCTGCGCGGTCGGCGAGTGCGGCAGGCAGAGTCGGAGGTGAACGCACCGCGCCGCGACAGGTTGGAATCGCCTCGATTTACGTGTGCGCATGGCCCCGTGTCGGTGTAACGGTCTGTCATAATCGGGTGAAACCTTAGTTTGAAACGCTTCAAGCGCATGAATTAGGTGTTTCCAATCGTTGGCGGCGCTTTCGACGTCGCGGTTCCGCTGTGTTGTGCCGAACAGATCTGTTGCCTCAGTCTTTTCCCGCTGTCTTTGCGCACCTTTCGGTGTCGATGCTTGCGCGCTGGCGTCATAATGGTGCTCTCAGGTTCCGGCGCGGCGCTCGCCGGTGTCCGCTCAGTTGGCGTCGTGTTCCGTCTCCCCGTGCGTCGGGCGCCGCGGCCCCGCCCGACCGCTCCGTGATACGTATTGCTTTCCTGTAGCCGCAGCCCGAGCCGCAGGGAGCTGCGGGCGCCGCCTGGCCGCGTCGGCGTGTGTGTGAACGCGGGCGAGTGGCAGTCAGTCACGCAGTCATACCATCATTTGTATTCATTTGTGTTCATTGTTTTGTAGTATTTTAACCGATGAATATAACCCCCACATTGTCGTCCGCGTTGGGTCTCGCTGACCCGTCCAGTCAGCACGGTAGCGTTACCGTCTGACGGCGCTCGGGTGTCGGTTACATCACAGTTGGTCCCGGCCGCCGACCGACCGCGGTCGGCTGACACTTCTCAGTTCTTTTCTGATACCGCGCCGCGAGGCCTGGCCTCGCCACCAGGGTGTAAGTGTATATAAATAAGCCACCGGCGCACCGAGGTCACGACAGGAACAGCACTGAGAAGGCCATCATGCAGCAGGCCACGCAGACATACGGGCTGAGACGCTCTCCGATGCGCGCAAACTTCCAGAAGGTGCCCACCACACTGCCGGGGAGGAGGGAGGCAGTCAGAAGCGCGGCAGGGACCAGAGGGAATCGGTTGCACGCCAGACTGTTCTCAGCGGGACATGTTCTTGGGAGTAAGCATATAGGGTAAGTATTGCTAATGGGAAGCCCTATTAAAGGTGGGCATTAAATGGGTACCTCTTGAATAGTGAAATGGACAAGTATAGGTATGGGCATTGGGGGCAACCATGTCACGAAAATCAGTGTGTGTAGCTAGTCATTGGGCTGGTGTGCCAAGCAATGCCACCAGTTTTAACACTTATGCCTACCCTGTCTTGTTTCGGTCCAGTATGCTTGGAAAAATGGCATGGATGAATGTGCAGGTGCAGATCATCAGTAACACCACTGTCAGAAGAGACTGGAAGTTGAAGATGGCTGACTGAAAAGGGACAAAGCACTTGTTATCAGACATGACAACTCAACAATGGATAAACTAAATGCCAGAGCAGTCAGAAACAGTAGCAATGCCTTCTCTGTCAGGGTGCTAAATGGCTGAAACAGACTACTGCCAACACCAGTACTAGCCCCTAACATGCTTTCCAGGTTCAAAACCAGCGTCCAGCTATGACACAATGGACACACCTGACACCTAAACATAGCTTACACCAAACTTGCACCAGACCTTATGCAGATGAACAGAAGGTGGACATTGGACAAGGTGCTTGAGTTGCTTGACTAGACCTCGCCCTATAGACCAATTGGTCTATCTAAATAAATCCTGCATACTATATAAAAGAAGGTAAGGAAAGGATGGCTCGCAGGTGTGTTGCCAATGCAAGATTCATGGGTTCTACCTACCACGTAAGCAAGGGCTCCGCCACGGACTTTTGGTTGGGGGGGACGGTCTGCTCTTCGCCCATCGCCTTAGTGTCTCCTCTAAAGCTAGGGTACCCCCAAATCCAGTTTTCTCATCGGATTTAGGCCACTTGTTTTTCGTCATAGCCCTGATACGATGATTTTTTTGGCTAAAAAAAAAAATAGAGAAATGGTAGGCCACCTGACCCATGCCATATTAGGTACCCAATATTAGATTGTACCTTTATCATATTGACAAACCAGACAGAAAAAACTTGATAGGTAAACAAACTTCAATTTTTAATGGTATTTGGCTCATAGTTTTGCGCTGAATCTGAGTCCGTTTTTAGCATTTGGCAAAGGTCGGGTCAGGTTAGGTGAGATCGACAAGTGCGTGTCCCGCCGGCTAGCCAAAGTAGGTGTCAGCCACCACAGACAGCTTTGTAACATGTTGCATTGGTACCAAAACTACTTCTCAATGTTCAAATGGATGCTTAATTCGACATCATCTCCTAAAAGTTTCCTATATAGTAACATGCCTATTGCCTAACTCGAAAAAGAGAGCCAAATTCATCTAACGGTAATGACCTTGACCTGATATTCACGTGACCTTGACACCTACCATAATGCATGCGTCTACCGTCATTTCACATGTTGGCTCGGTTTTATGACACAACAAGTCTGGAAACGTATAGATAATGCGCGCTAACATACGCCGAATCGGTGTTTCGGCCTGACATGGTCTGGAGAAATATACCACAGGCCCAAAAGTCATGGTCCATGGAAGTTAGGATCAATACATTTTAAGAAGATGTGTAAAATTCCTGGGAAAAACTAATAGTTTCGTCTTGATAAACCACTTTTTACGCGAGTTATTTGCGAAAAACTGAGGGGTGGGTCAATCCGACCCACCATAAGAACGAGGGCTAACCTCTCAAACACTGGAAGCAAACAGCTTCTCTCAACCTACAGTTCTGCGATATTCTTATTTAGTTATTTGACCGATGGAAGTTTCATCTAAAAGAACGAACGCGTTTACCCGAAAGAATAATCTCCGTATTGAGCGTTTAACTGATTGAGAGATCCTTATCTGATATACCTACTGGACCAGTATAACGCCTTTTGGGGCGACTAACGGAGCGAGCGAGAGGGTGAGCCTTGCACGTGCGAAATTTCGAGGGAGTACCTCCAGCTGACTTGTGCACGGCACCCTACTAACCGGTCTCTAACGATGTGCCAAATTTGAGCACAATCGGCCCAGCCGTTCTCGAGATCTGGAAGCGGCACCCTGCACGTGCGCACGTGCAAAATGGGTCCCGACTGACTTTTGCACGGCACCCTACTAACCGGTCCCTAACTGTGTACCAAATTTGAGCGCAATAGGTCCAGCCGTTCTCGAGATCTGGAATCGACCCCTGCACGTGCGCACGTGCAGCAGCACCCCAACTCTGGCACATGGATATGCAGTGCCTAGTGGGTGCTTACCTACATGCCAACTTTCAGCGCAATCGGCCAAGTAGTTACCGAGATATTGCAACAATTACCAAACTGACACCTCTTCGTTTTGCACGTGGCACGTGCATAAGGGGTCACCCACATGCATCGGGAATAGTCCAATACTTGGTAGAAGGAATGAAGCTACCCTACAAAAATTACCGCATGTAAATCGGTCAAGTGGTTGCTGAGATATAAGCCTCGCAAAAGCGTCCGCACGGCCGGCCGGCCGGCCGGCCGCTCATACTCAGAAATTTCTGTTAATCTAAGGAAAGACTACGCTCGCTTCGCTCGCTCCGTAATTACCTACTGGATATAGGTACCTACTGGATTCATCATCGGAATGGCACGTGTGATTGCGAACATTCGTCAGTAGACTCACGTTGATATACCTAACGCGAAAACGCCTGTCGATATGTTCTACTAAAAAAACAAATCTGTGGGCCGTGGCCCCCATAACAGAAAAAGACTAAAAGCACAGCGACAATATAATTATCGACGACAGGTTAATTAGATTCCCATCACATTTTTCTTCGGAGATTCTTTGCACCTATATGTTCTGTTTTCGGTGTCAGGAACAAGAGTCAATTTATCTACCAGCGGGAGAGCCGATTATTGGGGGGGACAAAAGATAGTATGTCCCACCCAACATTTTGGTTGGGGGGGACATGTCCCACCCGTCCCCCCCGGTGGCGGAGCCCTTGCACGTAAGTTCTGCATTGATGGATGATACCGTTGACAACCTTTCACGTACCAGGTAAAATCAATGCATTGTGGATAGTATTTCAGTGGAATTTATATTCGAATTTTCTAAAGCTTACCATTGCTGATCGCAGTGCTGGTGCAGTGAGTGTGTTGCCTTGGCAAAATTCGGTGAATTGTTTGAATGGGAAATCTAAGAATGCCTGGTGAAAGCAAATCTTAAAAGATATTTAACGCTTCGGCAGAGTTCAGAATTCCCTGAAGCACAATATTGGCCTATGCCCTTGAACTTGAACTAGTGGCACGCACGGTATATAGAGAACTGGGGCACGAATTGTAAATTGAAATATTTCCACTTCACAAAAGGTATTTTCTATTTAGCAGCCTACACAGTTGTGTCATCCTCCGTTTATGTTTCTTGTGCGCCATTTCTGTAAAATGTGTCTGCTGTTCGACGTTTGGTATGATGCTTGTCAGTGTCGGCCTCTTATTGGTCAAACGTATGGTCAAACGGCGTATTTACAAATTGCAACCGAGCTCCGCCGTGGGGTAAGGTGGGCAGGGGTTTTCGCACTACGGCTGCGGTTGAACTACCGTCTGTGGTAGAAACTTCAGGGCGATGGCGCGTTTCATACGAAATGTGGCGCAATGTTTGTTTGCTTCTGAACTTCTACTGTTATTGCTGTGAATTCTTGAAGTGGGAGTGTTTCAATAACAATTTGTGGATTATTTGAGTTTCTTTATATAAACATAAAATAGTATTATGAAACATTGTGTGGAAACTGCAAATACTGATATGATCAATTACTTAGTTTGGGAATTGATACACATTTTGTAGAGATTTGTCTGACAAATGGTGTAACAAACCTCAAGCATATCATGATCTGAAGCTGTTGCAACAAATCAAAATTGCTTTGTTGGAAAGACTGGAGCATGGTTCAAGATGATGTGTAAAAATTCAAGATTTGTGGGAAAGCTTGTGACTGTAGAACGGAAACAGTTCTATATGATGGCTCAATCAAACATGGAAATGGACGACAAAAGTAGAGTTTCATCATTCCGCATGTGAGAATAACTTCATAAATTCACAATTCTTGTAGTATTTCATTCTTCTTATGTACAGTTATAGGTGTTGTTAGGGTATTTGAAATTCATTGTGTCAGTCGAGATATAGATGGATTGCGGACAAATTTTATAATCATTGCATGGAAGCTAGGTATAAGGTACTTGTTCGGTAGAAAGGTATTGATGAATGCCATGAGAAGGTTTTTTATGATTTAATATATGGTCGTTGATGTGCCTACAAAAATGCAAGCTTACTAGCAACTAGTTTCTGAATCAAATCGAAAGTATTTGCCATGAATGTAAATATGTACCTGCAAAATATGTCAATAAATTTGTGTGTTGTTGACCAGAGAGCTTTATCATCTGGGCATTTATGTCGCTTCTTGCATTAGGTGTTAAGCATAGTAATTACGGATGAACTTTGTGCCAATATCTTCAATGCACAATGTATGTAGCATGTCTACAACCCTCACTGATCCTAGCTATAGGCATTTGGCACCAGCAAGACCAAGGGCATGAACTTCACAGTTGCTCAACCTTTTGTCATGTACCACCAGTCACTTTTTTACTTAGGTGCACATAGCAGTGCACACAACAGTCAACAGTCAGGAGTAATTATTGAATATCACATTTATTATGCATCACTTGTCAAACAAGAGCATGATGACACACATTTTGACAAGCAATCATGGTAGTGTTTCAATAAGTTGGACAGTCATCTCCCTGGGCGTCATTTTTCCAGGAAGGTACCTCTGCACTCTGCAGGTGTTGTGGTAGGCTAGGTTGAACTGGGTCAAGTTAGGCGAAGTAAGGTGGTTAGGACCCGGTCGGACCGTAAGGCCTGGTGAGGTTGATTTCAATCTTTCATTCTAATTTGACATAACCTATTACCTATGTTTTTGCTCCAGCCTGAATTTCATTATGTAATGAGTTAATTTTGCTTTGTTTTTATCTGTCTTGTTTTGTGTTTTTGTCCCTTTTATTTTGCCCCATAGGCAAGGGTGGAGCTTTTCCAGGGAAGGTGGTCAGGAGCATGATTGGAGGCGCTCAACCAGACGGCATAGGAGGGCACGGTTTCTGAACGCGCACTGATGCCTGATTCAAGCCACGCTGTCTTCATGCGTGGCGGCGCGCTACTTAAAAGTCCCTAAAAGCATAGGTGTAGCAACGTATCTCTTTGGTGAAGGATACCTTTCACCAAAGTTTCAGATTGGTGAAGGATCCTTCACCAATCTTGGACAATGCAAGGGAGGGTCTTCACCTACCTATGCTTAGAACTACTGGATTCGACGGTTGATCAAATGTCTGTTTTTTAACCCGCGCCCGGCTGGGGGTCCTGGATTTCCACGCCCTGCTGGGGGGGGGGGGTGTTTGAACACCCCCCTTCTAACTCGGCTCCTGGGCCACGTAGCGATACGCAGAAGGCGGCGTTCGAAAGAGCGCCAAAAATAATGACGAAATCACTTCGGTCACTTTTTTGGTCAGGTCAAAGGTCAGGTCACCAGAGGTCATTGAAGGCAAAATTTCGCCGATTTCCAGGTCGAATGTCGACAATTTCCAAGAAACCAACGCATAGCTCGGGAACCAATAGAGCTACAGCGCCACGGAAAAGCGCATTCGATAGCCCTATTAACGCCCTTTCTGAGTAATTCTCTCAGATTTGACCTAACGTCAACGGTTTTGCCTGCAGGGGGCAAAAACTGCAAAAATAGCCGATTTTTTCGGAAAGTTTTTCTGCAATAACTTTTGACCCAAGCCTTGTACGAGCTTACTTTTACCGGCATCGAGTTCCTCTCGTCAAGACGCATCGAATGAACTATAACTTGACCTTGAAAGGTCAACTTGAAAATTTGACCTCAGGTCAAGGTCATGACCTGACCGGACATTGTCATGTTGCATATTAGTGGATCTGTATCGTCGAGCTGAACATATATAAGGCGTTTTCATCGCTCTAGCATGCCTCTTTCAAAAGTTAGTCGCAAAAAACTGTTAGATACCATTCGTGACCTGAGATGACCTTAGGGGCATAAACAGGGGTCACGGGTGCCGTTTTCATGTTCAGTGTGTCAAAGTTACTTGTAATTTAGTGTTTGAGAGTGTTTAGAATGACTTTTGTCCGAAAAAGACGGTTTTGAATTTTCTCCCATTGACTTATAATACCTAGAGAGGTCGCAAAATTGACCCGACCTTAGGTCACCGATATGAAAATTCCGAATTTTGTACATACTGTTGCACTTATCAATTGCTGAAAGCTTCAAAGCGATCCGTCACTTGGTGTAGCTATGGCATACATTGAAACATTTTATGATGTGTTTATGAAGTGAGGTCACTTGTAGCGACCTGGTGACCTGACCTTGAAGGACCCTGGTCTGAAATTTTCACAAAATGTATAAAATTGATAGATGATAAGGTGCCGCCGTTTTTCAGATATCCGCGAAAACCGCAGGGGGGGGGGTGTTCAAAAACCTCCCCCCCCCCCCTCCCAGCAGGGCGCGGGTTAACACACTTTGACCATTTGCCCCAGTAGTCAAAATTCCTTAGCCGAGGCCCTGATTTACATCTTGCTGTCATGGCAAGATGCACAATTCAGTTTTAGGCAGGCATTGAAAATTTGACGTTAATGGGATGATAAGGGCGTAAGATATCTGCAAAAAACAAGGGGTTGGCGAAATTCGCCCCCCCCCCCCCGCTTGCACTGTGCGTGTTGGTTGGCACGGTCCTGTCCCTTTTCATAAGGTTCAGGTGGCATCCTTCACCAATATTTTTGGCGCTCCTACACCCATGCCTAAAAGAACGGGAAGTGATGCCGATAGAACCTTCAATCATTCTGGGCTAACGCTTATGACTTGGAAAAAGTCGCGATCCCAATTCAATCGAAAACCTGTGGGCTCTTGTTCAGCAGGAGGTGTATGAAGAGCCACCCGCCATAAGCACTGCTCAACCGCAGGCACAGGTTTAGACGGCGGTGGTCCGCATCAAAGCCAGTGTGCTGGAGAATCCATTGGCTGAAATGCTCCAGAACATTCGCCACTGTGTGGGTTCCTCATTTCCTCTCTGACTGTCCTTTGAAACCACTCCAAAGATATGCAGAAACCAACGAGGTGAGTAAACTGTGTTTTTATGAAAGGTGGCTACAAGCTCAGTTAAAAGAAAAAGTACCAGATTGTTTTGCTTTTACAGCGGGAAGAAAGGTGTCTGGATAATTTCGTTACACCCGCTGTGATGTTCAAATGGTTGCTAAATTCGAAATCAGCTCCAAAAACTAGCCTAGAAACATGTAATACTCGAAAAAGTGAACCGAGGTCATCAAAGGTCATTGAGCTGACCTGACCTTCAGGTGACCTTGACACCCACCATAATGCATGGGACCAGCATCATATCACATGTTTCAACGCTTGAAACCACGTGAAAACTGCAACCGCGCGGCTAATGCGAGCCGACATACGCCGAATCGCGATTCGGGCCAAACATGGTCTCGAGAAATAGGTCACAGGTCAAAGGTCATTTGGGTCAGGGTCATTAAATTTTCAGGGTAGGTGTAAAATTGATAAAATCGGGGGTATTGAAAGTTTCGTCGCGATCGGACGGTTTTTACGCGAGTTACTCGCGAAAAACCGATATAGCGCACCCAAAAAGGCAGAAATATGCACATGCGATATCCTATACTGCGAAAAAAGGTGCATCATTTTCGAACGTCGCCGACAAATTGTAATTACCCTAAGCTCAGGCAGATGTATGGTAGAAAATCCCCCAAGTGAAATACACTACGGCGGAAATAAAATACCCTACGGCGGAGCTCGGTTGCAATTTGTAAATACGCGGTCAAACGCCTCTCGTAAGAAAATTTCACCAATGAAAAGACGAGAGTCATCTGCAGCCTGGCAGCGTTCTCCTGTGAGATAAGTAGTGAACAGCAGTTGAATAGATTTTTGTTTGGAATTTGCGCGTTGTTGTTTTTATTTTGAATTGTGGTCGGCGGCGGCGGATTTAGGGGATAAAAATCGAAATTGAGAAGGGGTAAGCAGGTTTTACGCTTAATAGCAATGCGATTACTTTTATTCTTATGGAATGGGGATGTTCGCGCTAAGAGTTCCGAAAAGTCTCGCCAGGTGGCAGCACGGTATGCTTTGGACACAACGCGCCGGCCGGGCGCCGGCCGGGCCGGGGATAACACTGCGGGCGGCGACGGCGGCCGACGCACCGCGAACGGAAACTGCGTTTCATGTCTTTTTCAGGTTCATCATTTTGCTAAAATGAGTAGCTACAGTTGATTTCAGTATTAGGAAGACAATGACGCGTGTGAAAGGCAAACTACTACATCGTCATTGAGCGGAAGGAAAGG